GGGACAGTCCAGCCACTAATTTAGGGTTTGGGAGTCCTGGATTCAAGTCCCTGGGTGACCTTCGGTGAGTCACTACACAAAATGTGGAAACTAGTTAAATAGAAATTAAAAGAAACAGTCACAAGGGTAAAATGCCTGCAAATGACATGGAAACTATTTAAAACCACCATAATAGAAGCTCAAACTATATACATATCTATCCCAAATAAAGGGGGGAAAGGACCAAAAATGCCACCATGGCTAAACAGCAGATTAAAAGAGGCACTTAGAGGCAAAAAGGCATCCTTTAAAAATTGGAAGTTTCAAATCCTGCTCAGGAAAATAGAAAGGAGCATGAACTCTGGCAAGTCAAATGCAAAAGTATAAAAAAGGCCAAAAAAGAATTCGAAGAGCAGCTAGCAAAAGACACACAAGCTAACAGCAATTTTTTAAAGTACATCAGAAGCAGGAAACCTTCCACAAAATCACTGGGGTCACTGGATGATCAGGATGCTAAAGGAGCGCTCAAGGAAGACAAGGGTGTTGCAGAGAAGCTACATGAATTCTTTGTATTGGTCTTCACTGCAGAAGATGTGAGGGAGATTCCCTACTTGAGTCATTCTTTTTATGTGATAAATCTGAGGAACTGTCCCAGACTGAAGTGTCAGTAGAGGTGGTTTTGGAACAAATTGATAAATTAAACAGTAATAAGTCATCAGGACCAGACGGTATTCACCCCAGAGTTCTGAAGGAACTCAGATATGAAATTGCAGAACTACTAACTGTGGTATTCACCTGGTGACTGAGCTTGGTGACTTTGTTCTGACCCACAACCATTTCAGATTTGGGGACAATTTATACCTTCAAGTCAGTGGGACTGCTATGGGTACCTGCATGGCCCCACAGTATGCCAACATTTTTATGGCTGACTTAGGACAACGCTTCCTCAGCTCTCATCCCCTAGCGCCCCTCCTCTACTTGCGCTACATTGATGACATCTTCATCATACAGACCCACGGGAAGGATGCCCTTGAAGAATTCCACCTGGATTTCAACAATTTCCACCCCACCATCAACCTCAGCCTGGACCAGTCCACACAAGAGATCCACTTCCTGGACACTACAGTGCAAATAAGTGATGATCACATAAACATCACCCTATCCCGGAAACCTACTGACTGCTCTACTTACCTACATGCCTCTAGCTTCCATCCAGGACACATTACACTATCCATTGTCTACAGCCAAGCCCTAAGATACAACTGAATTTGCTCCAGTCCCTCGGACAGAGACAAACACCTTCAAGATCTTTATCAAGCATTCTTAAAACTACAATACCCATCTGGGAACATAAGGAAACAGATTGACAGAGCGAGACAGGTACCCAGAAATCACCTAGTACAGGACAGGCCCAACAAGGAAAATAACAGAACACCACTGGCCATCACATACAGCCCCCAGATAAAACCTCTCCAGCACATTATCAACAATCTACAACGTATCCTCACTCTCAGAGACCTTGGGACGCAGACCAGTCCTCGCTTACAGACAGCCCCCCATCCTGAAGAAAATACCAGCAACTACACACCACACCACAGAAACACTAGCCCAGGAACCAATCCCTGTAGCAAACCTCGTTGCCTACTCTGTCCCTATATCTCCTCCAGCGACACCATCAGAGGACCCAACCACATCAGCCACACCATCAAGGGCTCATTCACCTGCATGTCTACTAATGTGATATGTGCCAGCAATGCCCCTCTGCCATGTACATTGGCCAAACTGTCCCTACATAAAAGAATAAATGGACACAAACTGGACATAGAATCATAGAATATCAGGGTTGGAAGGGACCTCAGGAGGTCATCTAGTCCAACCCCCTGCTCAAAGCAGGACCAATCCCCAGTTTTTGCCCCAGTTCCCTAAATGGCCCCCTCAAGGATTGAACTCACAACCCTGGGTTTAGTAGGCCAATGCTCAAACCACTGAGCTATCCCTCCGCCCCAATCAGGAATGGTAACGTACAAAAGCCAGTAGGAGAACACGTCAATCTCCCTGGACATTCTATAACAGATTTGAAAGTAGCTATACTTGAACAAAAAAACTTCAGAAACAGACTTCAAAGAGAAACAGCAGAACTAAAATTCATTTGCAAATTTAACACCATTAATTTGGGCTTGAGTAGGGACTGGGAATGGCTGGCTCATTACAGAAGCAGCTTTGCCTCTCCTGGAATTGACACCTCTGCATCTATTGTTGGGAGTGGACTACATCCACCGTGATCGAATTCGCCTTGTCAGCACTGGTTCTCCACTTGTGAGGTAACTCCGTCTCTTCATGTGTCATTTATATAATGCCTGCATCTGTAATTTTCACTCCATGCATCTGAAGAAGTGGGTTTTTTACCCACGAAAGCTTATGCCCAAATAAATCTGTTAGTCTTTAAGGTGCCATCAGACTCCTTGTTGTTTTTGTGGATACAGACTAACACGGTCTGATATTTAACTGTGGTATGTAACCTAAGGCTTAAATCAGCCTCTGTACCAGATGACTGGAGCGTAGCTAATATAACACTGATTTTTTAAAAAGGGCTCTAGAGACGATCCTGGCAATTACAGGCCGGTAAATCTAACTTCAGTACCAGTGGGTGAATTGGTTGAAACTAGAGTAAAGAATGGATTTATCAGACACACAGGTGAACATGATATGTTGAGGAAGAGTCAACATGGCTTTTGTAAAGTGAAATCATCCCTCCCCAGTCTATTAGAATTCTTTGAGGGGATCAACTAGCATGTGGACACTTTTGTATGTATAGTTGGTACTATGTTTTCCACTCTTCATTACTTCACACTTACCATGATGAAATTGACAAGGTCCCATACCAAAGGCTCTTAACCAAAGTAAGCAGTCATGAGATAAGAGGGAAAGTCCTCTCATGCATCAATAACTGGTTAAAAGATAGGAAACAAAGGGTAGGAATAAACGGTCAGTTTTCACAGTGCAGAGAGTAAGTAGTGGGTTTCACTAAGGATCTGTACTGGGACCAGTTCTGTTCAACATTAATAAATGAACTGAAAAAGGGGTAATCAGTGAGGTGGCAAAATTTGAAGACAATACAAAACTACTGGAGACAGTTAAGTCCAAAGCTGACTGTGAAGAGTTACAGAAGGATCTCACTAAACTGGGTGACTTAGCAACAATATGGCAGATGACATTTCATTTTGGTAAGTGTGAAATAATGAACACTGGAAAACATAATCCCAAGTTATACATACAAAAGGATGAGGTTTAAATTAGCTGTTGCCACTGAAGAAAGATCTCTGAGTCATTGTGGATAGTTCTCTGAAAACATCTGCTTAATGTGCAATGGCAGTCAGAAAAGCTAACAACGTTAGGAACCATTAGGAAGGGGACAGATAACACAGAAAATATCATAATGCCACTCTGTAAATCCATGCTATGCCCACACCTTGAATAGTGCGTGCAGTGCTGGTCACCCCATATCAAAAAATATATATTAGCATTGGAAAGAGTACACAGAAGGGCAACCAAAGTGATTAGGGGTATAGAACAGCTTCTGTATGAGGTGAGGCTAAAAACACTGGGACTGCTCAGCATAAAAAAGAGACGACCAAGGGGAGATATGCTCGAGGTCTATAAACTAAGGACTGGTGATTTGAAATGAATAACGAAATATTGTTACCCCTTCACCTAACACAAGAATGAGGGGGTCACCCAATGAAATGAATATGGAGCAGGTTTAAAACAAAGATAAGGAAGTACTTCTTCACACAATGCACAGTCAACCTGTGGAACTCATTGCCAGGGGATGTTGTGAAGGCCAAAAGTATAACTGGATTCAACAAAGAATTAGATACGTTCATAGAGGATAGGTCTGCAGTGGCTATTAGCCAAGCTGGTCAGGGATGCAACACCTTGCTCTGGGTGTCCCTAAATCTCTGACTGACAAAGGTGACCGTGGACAACAGGGAATGGATTCTGTTCTGTTCATTCCCTCGGAAGCATCTGGCACTGGCCTCAGGATATTGGGCTAGATGGAGGATTGGTCTGACCCAGCTTGGCTGTTCTTAGGATTTTTATTTTGACTTTATATTCCACAGATGGTGGTAAGGGCTGGAGGGCTTTGCCTGAGTAACAGTGTCCAGCCATTTGAGAGAGGCTGGAAAGTGACTGAGCCCAGACAATGGAGCTTCCCCTGGCTAGGCCAGTGGGGCTAACTTGGCTCAGATCACTAGTGACTGAAAGACTTTCTGCTCGCCAGCCTGCACCAGGGAGCTGCACCCTGGTGCTGGAGGGCTCCGCCCGGTTCCCAGTCAGTGTCTCCAGCTTACAAAGACCCAGCAGCACCATTTGGTGGCTGAGCATCTCAGCTGAAAAAGGCCAAGCCTTGAGTAAGCCAAGCCATGGAGGCTGAAGGATCTTGTCAGCCCCAGGCCTGACCCCTCCAGGGTAAGGGGAGCTGTGCTGGGGTGCGCAGCGTGGGAGGGAAGCCTGCCTTGGGTCACACCTGTTCTGTGACTTAAGAGTCCTTCATCTTCCAGGGCTGCCCGTGCAGCTCTGGGTCCACAGGTGGATTTATAGGGGTGAGGGAGCCATGCCCACGTCAGCTCCAGCCCCACCCGGCTTGGCAAAAGAGGCAGCGCAGGGGCTCCAATGCCCAGCCCCGCATGGAGTTTGGGGCACACGCGTGGATGCGGCCAGGGTGCCCCAGGCCGGGCTCGCAGCGGAGGGGGTGACTGCAGGGAAGGCGCGTGAGGCTCGCGCCGCCTCCCCTCCCCGGAGAGCCCCGGCGTGGGCGGGGGCGGTGCTGGGAGCCCGGCGGGCACGCGGGGGCGGGCCCCTGCAGGCCGGGAGGAGCGCGGGGCTGGCAGCGCCACACACGGAGCGGCGGCGGGCGAGGCTCGGCGGCGCGGCGCGCGTGTGTGGACGGAGCAGGGGGGCGCGGCGCCTGCTCAGCCCGGAGCCGAGCTCCCGGACGCTCGCAGCCCGCGCCTCTGGCAGGGGGCGGCGGCGGGGGATGCCGCGGGGCTGGCGGCTGCCCAGGCCGCGGGGGGCGGCTCCGTGAGGCGCCCGAGCCCAGCCGCGGAGTTCGCAGGCGGTCCGCGCTGCACCGCAGTCCCGGGCGAGGTAAGCGGGCGGCCTCGGAGCAGCGCTGCAGGCGGGCTTCTCCCCGCGGCCAGGGGACCCCCCCTCCCGCCGGGTTTGCCGGCCCAGCGGGTGCCCGCTTCCCGGCTCTGGCTGGCTCGGTGCGTGGGGCTCGGCTGGGGCGGGCTCCCCGGGACGCCTCATGCAGGGAGGCGAGCGGGGCGGGGTGGAGCCCCCGAGCGTCCAGGGGCGAGCAGCCGGGGACGGTGCAAGGAGCTGCGGCGGGAGAGCAGCTCCCGGGGACGGGGCGTGCAGCGAAGGGCTGGTGCAGCGCCCGGCCCCCCGCGCGCTGCCTGCACCGCGCCGAGGCAGGTGCAGTCCCTTGCCCAGCAGCCACTGGCTTTCCCTGCAGACCCAGGGCCGGGCGTGACTAACCAGAGCCCCCGCTTCTCGCGGCGGTTCAGGCTCCTGCGAAGTTTCAAGCTCCGGCCCGGGGCCCAAGGGCGGCATTTAGGCCGGGCTGCCACGCGGGGGGCTCCCCTCCCAGCTGCCCACCCCAGCGCGGATCGGGGGGTGTGTGTGCTGCGGGGCTGGGGGACGGCTGCGGGTGCTGTGTGTCGGTGCACCCCCGAGGTAGCGGGGTGCTGGGTCTCTGGCGAGGAGGAGGAGCAGTGCTCGCTCCAGCGTGGCGCTCCCTGGTTGAACGCGATCAGGGGCTTAGATACTTGCCCTCACAGTTGGCACTGAGCTGCTTCTTCCCCGGGGGAGAGCCGGAGTGCTCCAGCTTCCTGTGGGAAGCCCCGGGGCCCGAGCTGGGACGTGTGAAATGCTGAATGGCCGGTGAATGACCACATCTGTGTGGGGGAATCCAGGGCCCCTGGTGGTGAGTGCTGTAGAGATGCTGCTAGGAGAGATTTCAGAGTAACAGCCGTGTTAGTCTGTATTCGCAAAAAGAAAAGGAGGACTTGTGGCACCATCGGATGAAGTGAGCTGTAGCTCACGAAAGCTCATGCTCAAATAAATTGGTTAGTTTCTAAGGTGCCACAAGTACTCCTTTTCTTTTTGCTAGGAGAGATGACTTTCTTCCCTATTCAGAAACATTTGAATATCTTAGGGGTTGTTCCTCAGTTGCCTGGAGTTGGGGACAAAGGTGGCTTCACACCACATTTATCCCCCTCCTCTGGGGCAGGTTCAGTCTGTCACAGTTTAGAGTAGCCTTGAGGCTGCAGGAAACTGCCTCTGGCTACAATGACCATCAAGGGGCTGGTTCACCAGCTGGGACAGCCACAAAGGAGGTGGAGATAAATCGGATCTACACTGCCAAGATTTCCCTGGTGCTGGGGCAATCTCCAGGAGGTCAGGTAAACCAACTTTATGCCCCTTGTAAGCTGCCAAAGCCTCATGAAGGGGCTGGATCAGGGCTGAGATTTGACCCTCTGAACGTGCTGTGTTTCAGTGTGTTCTAGATTAAGGGGGGTTTAGGTCCGTAACTAACACATGCTGCTAGAACTAGGCTGGGTCTTACACACAGACACGCGGAGGTCACGTTCTCTGCCTTTTACTGCCCCATCAACCTGCAGAAGCTGGGAAAAATGCAGGTCCATTTTTCAGAGACTTTCTAATGAAAGAGGCCAGCCTGCACCGTGATGGCTTGGAATCTCTTGGGAATGGCTGCAAGCTCAGCAATTCACGGAGAAGGGCTGGCTGCACCTTTGTAAGAATTTCAGCCCTTGTGCACCTGTGAGAATCCCTCCGGCCTCCTCTTGAACCTGATTGGCTCTTGTGTCTCAGGGTTCCTTTTTTAAAGGAGGGAAAATCCTAAATCTTCCCAGATAAATTCTTCCACAGCTTCTCCTGTTAACTCCTCCACATTGCCCTCCCAGACATTGCTGCATTTAACTTCCTTGGTGGGATGCAAACACACCCAGAGGGCAAGGCCTGCTTTGCATGCATGGAACCCTGGGCACTGTGCAAGAGGGAACACTTGAAACCGCCATCTTGTTTGCGTGCATGTTGGAATGCAGATCTTGGTGTGAACCACTAAGGAAAACATGGGGGTCAGTTCTAGTGGCAGGTGTTTGCCTTAGGGAATTTGGGCAAGGAAACACCATTTTGGCAGTGGGAAGTATCCCCTCGTTGCTCACAGTAGGGCTAGTGAGCTGGTTAACAGCTGGACTATCCTCAGGGGGTGCTTGCCTGTGCACTTCCAGCCAGTGCTTAATTTGTGCCAGGGCTTGCCAGGGCTCAGCCCCGGCACCTCTGGGGTTGCCACGTCACTTATGAAAGTAAAAAAAAAAAATTGCTTGAGCTCTGGCACCTCTTTCATTATAAATTAAGCACTGCTTCCGGCCATCAGTTTGATGCTCAGTGTCAAGGAGGGACAGCTGTGACATGAATCCTCCTCCAGGTCACTCCCCCTTCACAAAGCCCTTCCAGACTCGGGCACTTGCCATTCATCTACTCTGCCTCCTCCTCTTCCCCCTTCCGAATGCACGTCCGCCACGTTCGCTAGTTTCAGCGCATGGAGGTGCTAGCTGCCCCAGGCACTGGGGAAGTTTCACCCCACGTGTGTGCAGGTGGTTTCTGCTGGGGGGCGGGCCACCTTCAATCAGCAGCTGGGGCTTTGCACTGTGAGAACCCAGACCACAGAGGCAGTTGAATTGGTGTGTCCCCCACCATCCTGGCTACATCACTTCCCTGGCTTCAGTGGCCCCCACCCAATCCACACTGCGAGCACTTTGTGTAGCAAAGCTTCCCCACTCAGCAAACTCTCCGCAGCTGGTGCCTTGTGTGAGACTCAAGGCCTGTGTTATGCTACCATAAACCCATCAGAAAATCTAACGTGGGCTTTCCCTCCCCCGCCCCCCGAGCCTGGCTTCTCTTTCCTAGTTGATCCTGCAGTGAAACCATAGTGCTGAGTTTCAGACAGAATTCGCTGTGTGGAAATGGGGCTGTGACTGCATTGCAGGGAAGGGAGCTGAGCTGGGAAGGAGAAACTTAAAGGGCTGAACTCGTATCAAAGAGGAGGATGGGAAGCAGTGACTTTGGCAGCTGCCCAGAGGGAATTCCTGTTATATAAGGGGGTGGTTGCCTAGTGATTATGGCAGGAGACTAGGATGTTAGGATACCTGGCTCTGACACTGATCCGCTGGGTGACTTGGGCAAGTCACTTGACTGGTGTATGCCTCAGTTTCCCCATAAGTGAAATGAGGATAGTGATGGGCCAGGCTGCAGGAAGACCTCCTCAAGGAATCATGTGGGAAGTATTTTCAGGACGGTGGTACACAAATATAGGGTACAGCCATGAAATACTTGCTAGCTTGCAGATACCCCATTATGGGGAGGTGCTCCTTTAGCCAATTCTGCTGCTTTCATTTGCGCTCTTGTCTTTTAACAGCAATTGAGGTATGGGATGAAATCGAGAGGGGAGAGCTGGTGAAAGCAGGTCTGTGCTGCAGGGAAAGCACCTGTATATAGAACATCATGTGAAGATCTGGAGTGTGGATCCCAGTCAGTGGCACTGAATGGGGGGGGTGAGCTGGGCAGCTGTTGGGACTATGAACGCAAGGTTGGGGTAGTGTCTGGGAGTTGAATGGCCTTCCCAGAATCGGAGGGTGGGGGCAGGTAATGGGGGGAGCATGCGGCGTTGATGGGGGGAGACGGATGGAAGGAGGAGGGAAGGGATGAGATTAAGTTATTGCTGATCTGTATCTGCAACCCATTGCAGGACCCTTTAAGGAGAGTGGATAGACAAGTGGTCCCCTCTCCTTCAGGCAGGAAGAACCCTCTTTACTGGGGTGAAGGGACGTACAGGTGAGAGTCTGGTTGCTTCCGGGTACCCCCTGCCTCTCACAGGGAGAGCAGGGGGGTTCTGTGTGGGAGCACTGCTCAGCCAGTCCAGGGAGCAGAATGAGGTGGGAGCTCCCCTCTGCTTTTAGCAGCTGTATATTCAAGCCCCGTGAGTCCTCAAATCCGGGCTGGAAATCTCCTGAGAAGAGGCTGTCTCATGAGATTCCCTCCAGTGCTTCCAGCTGGGGCAGAGCCCCCAGGAGCAGCCAGCCTTGGCTGTGGCATCTCAGCCCTACAGTCTCTGCCTGGAGCCTGAGAGCTTGCTGGCACGTGGGACTGAACCAGCATTTCTGAAAGCGGGATGCTCCTCAGGAAAGGTGCCATACCTCTTGTGGCTGAAGTTTCAGGTAGGACCTGAATGCCCCTGAATCAGCCAACCCCTGGCTCAGCGCCACCTGTCCTCTGGACTCCATAGGTGAGTTATTGCCTCTTGCATGCCAGGCAGTGAGGATGCCAGGTATTTCCGGAGATTTAGTAACATCACTGTTATATTACTGTGAGCTCTTTGGCACAGGGCCTCTCTCTCACTCTGTGTTTGTACAGCACAGTGGGGATATAATTTCAATACTAACAATCACTCTAAAGAAAATTGGTATCTCAGCTGCCTTTCTGGCTGTCCTGTGCTACTGAGGCAGTAACATAAGACTGTACAACACTTTCCAGAGCAACACTAAAAAGAGACTTCTCACTGAGAGTTCTTACCACTCAGTGTCCTTATCCAGTAGGTGTTTGGCTATTCCTGTAGAGAGCACTGGAACAGTGCTGCCCTCCCGGGTGGATCTCCGTGACTCGCTCTGATAGCATGACTTGGTGTGATACACCCAGAATGGCCGTGGTTTGCTCCGTTGAAATCCATACCTGGGGCACAGTGTGGGCACTATTCTGTTGCTCTGAAAGGCAGAGATTTCAGGTATGTGCTGTTCTGGGCAAAGTCGCCTGCAAGTAGTCTTGTTTCTTTGAAAATTTGGGAGCGAATTTAGGGCATATGAAAGGAATGGGTGAGTAGTGCTGGGCATGGGGTGCACCACCCAGCTCTGCCAATGCATTTCTGTCCTGACTTACAGTCCCCTTGCTAGTCCAGCCCATGGTCTCACACCCTGCCCTGTTGCTGCACCTCGCTTCTGGCCCATGACACTCCCTCCTGTTCCGTTCCAAGGCTTTGTAACAATGCCGTCCTCTCAGAGGTCATTGTC